GATAGCCATGACGCCAGTGGTGAGCTGCAATAGAGCCTCGGAAGCCAGTAATTCCCCGAAGATTTCTCACATGTCATTCAGGAACGAGCCTCGATCGCACTTCTCAAGATGGTCGTGATAATATAAACGTGCCGCTTCAACATGTCAACAGCGAGCAGGCCAGTGGTGAAGACAGCCAAACACTTCAGGAAACCCTCCTGCATGGGCAGGACCTCAGATATGCACAGGCCGCTCTCATCTACAAACGAAACGACGGAACGCAACAGCAAGAAGGGCTTCGAGATAATGTTGCCATGGCATCATCCAGGTTTCCTGATTGGAACCGTCTACGGCCTAAGTACATGGGCGTAGTTGTTCAAGATGAACATAGGAGTCTACGAGAACCTGATAACACACTGTCTCACGTTCCTTTTCGGCAGATCAACCAGGAGCTTGCAAATCCTAAACTCGACAGTCCGCAACTGCTAGTTGATGCCGTACCCGGCAGTCCTTGGTCAGGTTTCTCTTTTCACCAGATGGCGGACGAGGAATTACTCAATTCCATGGAGATTACGGAGTCAGCGGACGACGCGCTGCGTCATGGGCTCCCCGCATGCATGCTGGATATGGTTGCCTTGCAACAATCCACCACATCCCATCATGCGATCGCTGTTGCTGGTAACCCGCTCAACAGTTCCAATGGCCGAGACATACTCAGGGACAGTGGTTATCGCAAACTTGACCGAGGTACGAGCGCATCGATCACAGCTTGGCAGCAGCGAAACCTCGATGACTGGGGTTCGGTCTCTCATCCGTGGGAAGACACTCCTTGGACTTCGAGTGCTGTTCGGTTGTCGCTATCGAATGCATTGAACCCAACTGAATTTGTATGTCCTGCGACAAGTGGAGGTGACCCTCTGTTGATGGAGATGGACCAATGGGACACCGGACCTAATATGCTATCCAGCGGCGTAAACGAATGGGAAGAGGGGCAAATGGGATCAGCTGTGGAATGCTTTCCAATTGATGAGATGGAGGCCTCAACTGATTGTGGTTTAAAAGGTCCTTCCCTACCTACTGCTGAGGACCGACATTCTAGGTCACCCTGGAGCGGCTTCTTTGTCAGTAAAACTGCTGATGCTCCTGCGCGCTGTTTCGATACATATGATGGATTTGCTACCTCGGGAATGAACGTCGATA